TTTGTAACACAGAGCAAATCGAATAAATAGATAGTATCAAAATTTGGGTCGACATGCGTGTTATTATTTCGCGTGTTGTGGAAAATTGGGCGGGGAATAAATAATCTACAGTATTCGATGAGGAAACGATTTCAGATTGCACTTCCATAATCAAATTGTGGCCAACCGGGCGTATGCGCAATGTCCAATTGTCCTAGACGTTTTGGCATTTTTTAATGAAAGTTTCGACCGTTTGCGCATTGAATTGATTTTCTATGAAATAAATTGTTGCAAAGGAAATTCAGAGGAAAAAACAACGTAGACACGCCCACGAAATGATTGGCAAAACCGTCCAGCAATTATGTTTATTGGCTGCTGGCGATTATTGCCGCATTCTTTTCTTTCAGCCACGAATAAAGCAAAGGCTTTCGATTTCGCAATCGAATTGGATAAACTTGCTCTTCGAAGGCAAAGAGCCGGCAGTACTGGAGTGGACCCAAATGAGGTAATAAATAAATATAGAAAATTATAACTAAATTACGGCTTCAGATTTGTGGCTGTAAAATCTGGTTGTGACTTGAAATTATCTTTGATGCCTTTTTATGTAATCCAGTTAATGTCGAAGCTCAACATATATTTAATATTGTTTGAGGTTTTTGTAGTTTAATCTTTAAATAAACAAAAAAACCTACAAGGTTTCCGTATTTTAATAACAAATAACAAACACATAAATAAAAACTTGTAAGTCACTTGTATTTATTTTACCTACAAAGAACCTACTTAAAGTTACAAAAAACCATTGTTAACATTTGACATTTCGCCAAGATCTTCAATGTCAGCCGGTTCGACCGACAACTGAACGCTTTCAATACCAAATAAGTTTTTCCCTGCGATCGATTGTCATTAACCATTAACCAGTTGAAAGAAACGCAATTCCCGGCTGGAATTTTCGATTTCAATTGGAAGCGAACGAAAACAACTTTCAATGCAAATGCAGCACTAAAGGCGAACCTGCAACCTGCAACTTCGTGGGTGAAGGAAAAGGCGGCTGGTTGTTCAAGTAGCGACATATCGTTCGGTTTACCTCGGCTGACTGATGGAAAAATGCGGTTAATGTGGCTAATGCCAATTGCCGTTGGAGTCTTGGGTTTCAGCCCATGCACTTGTACAATTTCCTAATTAAGTCAAATGCACTGGCATGTCTTGCTATTCTTATTGTCTGTAGGGTTTTGTATTCTCACACGTGAAAGATATGATTAACCTTTCTTATAAACAGGTGTATTTTTATATATTGAGGAAAGTAACTAAGAGGTTGAATTATTAGATTTAAGTTGGTGGAAACAAAATGCAAAGTGTGGTACAAATAATATAAAGACCATGAAGAAAACTCTTTCAGTGCTTCCTGTTACACGCTTTCCAATTTTCTTCACTGTTATTTCACGTACTTTAACCTGACGATCAGTTAAATTGACATTAAAGAAAATTAAACATCGTTTTAAGGCACCTAATTTCAATCAGTGAATTAAAGTAGACCAATAAACTTTTATTTTTAACCTTTTCTAATTTATTACAAAATAGTATGTAGTTCATGTTAATGTTAATGTTTTTATACACGAACATTTTATTTGATGGAAAACAATGTTTCAATAATTAATTGGAAAAGTAAGCATGATCAATGTTTAATTTTAATATACCATCTATTATAAAAACCAGGAACATCCTCTATATTTTTATGTAATGCTCACTTTCAAAGGTAAATATGTGCCACTTTTATTTATAAATTATTGCGGAACAGCATTTCCGTTGCATAAGAGCGAATTGATTTCATGCATTTCCATATCGCGTTTTCCTCTGTAGGAAGCGATCACTTAATAGATTTTACTTTTTGACAGTTAACGCAAAATGAAAATTAATTTGCGATTCTCGGGCGGCGGCGCGAATGCAAATAATCCGAGCCGAGTGGCACTGAATGATTCGAGTGGTGGTGTTGCGAGGAAAACGTTTGCCACTTCAAGGAAAACGAATTCCAGCGGGCCGCGGTTAAAGCCATTACCAATGCATTTGAGCCAAATGCAGCTCCGGCCAATGTGGCAGTTTGTTTTGGTTGTTCGGTCCGAGTTGTTGCTGGCCAAAGTTGATGGACTCGTTTGGAGCGCCTACAGCAGCAGCACCACTAGCACCACCGCATAAAAAGTGAATGCAGTGGGACAAAATCGAGGGGAGCGGCGAGCGGGCAAATCGACGCTTTAACAATTTGGTTAAAGTTTAATAAACTTTATGAAATGTTGTCTTGAGTGGGAAATGCAGTTGGTCTGCGTGGAGTCGTCGACTTCAATGACAATGGTGCAAAAGGGGAGCGAAGGGGCGGTGTGTCTGGCTGTCAAGTGAGTTTTCGGGGCGATAATGTCCATGGCAAAGAGCTAAGGAAAAACAAAGAGATAAAAAGGAAATCCTAGGAAAGCCATGGGACATCAGGAAACAGCCTGGCCACGTTAGAAAGTAACCATTATTGGCGGGTTTCGTTTTTACCCTTTTTTCTAAGTTTTCAATTCAACATTTTTGACAACGCTTTCGTCTTGTTTTTGTGCAGTTTTTTCCCCGCTTAAGTTTTCCGATTTTTTGGTGGCTTCTTCGGGATATTACGCAAGCGGAAAATGTGCTGTGAGTTTCCCTTTTCGGGTGACATTTTTATTGATTTTTTTATGCCAATGCAGTTATGCAATGAAATGTTCACAGAATGTGCATGATGTAAAATGTTGTGTTAGAAAAGTCATATCATAAATTGAAATATTTGAATGGAATTTTAACCAAAAAGAATTAATATGAACAAATATCAACATAAAAACTTGTCTTTAAAAACTTGTAAAGAATAATATTATATTTATCCTTCATTCTAAAGATACAAATCTTCAATACCAAAACTAACAATCTAATTCAATTCCAATTACGTCGATGGCTTGACTTTTATTGAAATAAACTTTAAATTGGTTTAAATTGTTGTCTTCGTTAGATGAGATATATTTAAATGTAAATCTTCTAAGAGCACAACATCGCACTGAAACTATTTGACCGACATTATTAATGGTTCTGTTAATTAAAAACGATCCGCACCTAAAGTGGTCTCTACCTGGATTTCTCGTAATTGCTTTCGGCTATCAACCGAACTGAATATTATCATCAATATTTTTTATAGATTGTCAAATGGGGGGGAAAGGCGGTGGGGCAGGCGGAGGGGGAGTGGCCAATCCTCCGCCAAAAGGAGGAGAAAGTGAGCCAAATGGCATGGAGCGCGAATGGATCGCTCCGAGGGTTATCATTATGTACTCATATGCAGAATCCAGTAATTACAGCCACACGTATGTGTATATGTACTCGAACATGCTGATGAATTGTGGAAGCCTTGCATCCGATAGATACAATTTTGATTAATCGTAGCGAAAAGAGAGCAAAGAAATTAGAACGCCGGTGGAATTCGACTGGATGTTTGGAGCGGAGTGTCCAGGTAATTGTGGGTTGTACCCAACTCCCCCTGGTAGAGAGAAACTCCGACGTTTGTAACGAACTGATAAGCGCGTAATTAACATGGCCAACAAATGGGGAGGTTAGGCGGGGGCATCCATACACCTGGCCAAAACGAAAAAAAAACTCCCATGTGCAGCAGAAATATTTCCACTCCGCCACATCGACAGCAAAGCATTTTTAAGGCGTGTTGTTTGCCGTTTTCAATAGATTTTTGTCTTTAATGACTTTTGGCCGGGCTCGCAGAGAGTCTCTTGGCCAGGCTTAATGGCTTCGATCGCTTGGCTTTTGTTCTGCACAGAATTGCCTTCTTGTGGCTTTCGCGAGTGGGTTTGGTTTCGGTTTTGGTTTTGGTTTTGGGTTCGCGATAGGTTCCAAATGGCTATTCTATCTTCAGGTGTCGGCATTGCTTTTGAGCCAAATCTACCGCTAGCTGGGCTGGCTCATAATGAGCCCGGTCATCTGTCCGGGAGATCGGAAGATCGAACAGGTGACTTGATGGTTTGTCCGTTTTTTTTTTTTTTTTTTGGTTTTTCAGCCAAAATGGGTCGCACATGCTGGGCGCAGAATTTTGACATCGATCTTTGATTGGCTAAAGTCAAAGAGGTTATTAACTTGCTAAAGAGTTAATTATCTAGTGAACCCGGTAAGGTATTTTATCGGAAGAAAGCCATTATTCAATGGGAACATAAAAATTGGCATTTACAACCAGCTGTATTACTCTAAAATTTTTTATGTATTATGTATGTATCAAACGGAAAAGTATCTGAAAGTTATAATACAACTTGGTTGGTCATAACTGTTAAGAAATCAATTTTTTAAGACTGAGAATAAATAACTAAGAAAAAAAAAAAGTTAAAATAATTCATTTTTGTGCTAATTCTATTACCAAAACATGGAGCCTACACTCATTTTATTTTATGATAAAATAAACACAAATACATTATAGAAATATTTTTTCCAGACATTTCATTCATGAAAGCTTTAAGTGATGTTAGAGAGCCCCATTAAAGTCAAATCCACTTGCTAATAATTTTGTTTTGGCTTGAATGGCTGAAACGTTTTAAACCTATTGAACAAACAGGGTTTCGAACAATGCAAAACAAAGGCTGAAATACCGGGTAACTCATTAAATAAAATGAGAACACGCCGTTTACCAGACGGAGATGGTGGAGAAACAAAAAAAAAAACAATCAACAGTCGCAACAGCAACAACAAGAATAAACCACAAGAAGTCGGTGCAAAATAAGGTCCAACAAAGCTAAAAAAAAAACAATAACAATAACAACGATTACAGCACAAAATACCCAAAGATGAAAAGTTCAATGCACGCAAATCGGATTAAGCAAAGAAATTAAGTAATACTTGTACTTCTGGAAATCCATTGAACTGAAAGTGGTAAATAGAAAGGGATCTCTGAGATCGGGCGGAAGTTGTCCGCCCATAAGTAATAAATGGTTTTTAAATTCAATAATGCGCAGATATTAAATACAATTTCTCACCTTTAATACGCCAAAAAATGTGTCGCTCAAATCCAAAATGCGTAAATCCAAAAATAAATTAGAGGAAGTTTTTTATTTCTCACAATTATGTTTTTGTCAAAAAACCCAAACGGTTAGCACTCCGAAAGTCGTATTTTTGGAATCGGTAAGTGCGCAGGCGTTGCGAGTTTAAATTGCACCAAACCGGGTTTCAGAATCGCGCGAAATCGGAAGTAGCGAACCGTACGCATCGAAGCTCAAAACTCAACTAAAACAAACTTTTCATTATGGGATCCATCGAGCGCCTCGCGCCAAAAAGCTTCCCCATCTAAGCTTCAACATTAAACTGAGCTTTTTGGGGCTTCTTTCGCATTTAACCTCAGCCAAGAAGTTGGCAAATAAAACGGAAAAGATATGGCTACCGAATTATTTGTATCAGAAATAAATAAAAAAATTAATAATAATGCCCGGAACTCGTGGCCCGAATCAGTCAACTATATTATACAACTCCCGTAGGAAAGATTCAAAAATAACGGACAAAAACTAAAAAGCCGTTATTTTTTGAAACGCACAAAGATGATTTTGGAAATATCGAGTTTTAAATGACGCTCGAAATAAGTTTAAAAATCGAACGACTCTATCATTCTTGAATCACGACTTTAATTGTATTTATATCGGAAGTCTATATTATTTATTTGCCAATTAATACAATTTTGATTTGTTTTCGCTTTATACTTTACCTACATGTTTTAATTCTACATTTACTAGATCGGTGTAACTTTCATCTCTAGCGATATTTTTCCAAGTGCCATCGCCTGACAGGGAGCAGTTAGCGGCGTTTTGCAGGGGCTGCTTTTTCGGTATTTCGTCCCATACACGGTCACACTCGTGCACTGTGGAAGCAATTTTTCGCAACTTGATATTAATTCTGTTTGATCGGCTCGGGCAAAATGTTTTCCATTCTGGTCGGCTGGCCTTAGAAATAGACGCCTAAAGTTCGATTCAATTCGCTTGGCACCAGCAATCTTTCATCCGCGCAAGAGAAAAGCGAGGAAAGTGTAGAGCGACCAGAGCCCTGTTGAAACAGAGTCGGCGAAGGATTGGTGAAGGGGGTGGCGCAGAGGCGGCTGAAGGCAAAAGTCTTTTAAGGCGATTCAACGACAAAAAAGCCAGGTAACTATAGTTAACATCGAGGATAGCTTAGATTTTCAGCCGGCTAAAGGGTGTTCGCAACCGGGGAAAGTGGCAGGGTTTGAACGGAGGACAGTGGGTGGTGCTGACCTCCCTACACTCCCTGTGCGAACCCTTCCTCCGCCGACCTTGCTCTTCTATCGATTTCCGAAAAATTGCATCAAGCCAGATGCACAGAAAATCACAGCTGAAGGTTAAACTTTTCTATCGGATCAGGGCCAAAATCAAAACACCACCACCGACCGATTTCTTTATTCTTTGTTCTTCATGAGACGTAGTATAAAAAAAATCAAGAATAAAGAACAGCCAGCCCCCATTTATATACGTATATGCCATATACATAGCTAAAAAGCGAGTGGAATACATTATTTCTTGTAATATATGCTTAAAAAAAACCCCCAATGGCACAGGGCCATTTACCTTTGATTTTGCAGGCATGGAGAGTCCTTGTGAATCGGAGAGCTCGCTGGACGGCGGCACTATGCTGCCCCCGAGTCCAGTTTCCCGGGAGCAGCTCCAGAAGCGGATCGAGTCGTTGACCCAGCAAAACAAGTGAGTCATCCGCGGGTAGCGCCGTCCCCATTCACCTGTGCTAATGTTGTTTTTTCGCCCCTAGGGTGCTGAAAGCCGAGCTGGACACCTTTAAAACCAAGTGCAAGGTGGTGCAGGAGGAGAATCGCTGCCTCAAACAGGCTTCGGTCATCATTGTTAGTATAAATATATGCATACCTACCATACTAATCCTATAATCAACGAAAAAAATTAGTTCACATGGGTTTTATTAAGGTTTTTATTATCTAAACAGATTTGATTCACTTTTCCCATGTGCAGATGTTATTTCTGCGAAGTCAAACAGGGAAATAGATAAGATATAATGATGATTAATAGAAATGTATTGCTTTAAAATTTTGCATTGCTTCCTATATCCAGTTTTACTATAGCATAGATAAGATAATATATTCTGCTTAAAAAAAAATAGGATAACTCTCTGCAATACTATCTAATTAATGTTTCCCCAATCTATATAGCAAGCCAAAGCCGAGCAGGAGGAGGAGTACATCTCGAACACGCTACTGAAAAAGATCCAGGCGCTGAAGAAGGAAAAGGAGACGCTGGCGCATCACTACGAGCGCGAGGAGGAGTGCCTGACCAACGATCTCTCCCGGAAGCTCGACCAGCTGCGCCAGGAGAAGTGCAAGTTGGAGCAGACGCTCGAGCAGGAGCAGGAGTGCCTGGTGAACAAGCTGATGCGCAAGATCGAGAAACTCCAGGCGGAGACGGACAACAAGCAGACGAACCTCGAGCAGCTGCGCCGCGAAATGGTCGAACTGGAGAACACGCTGGAGCAGGAACAGGAGGCGCTGGTCAACAAGCTGTGGAAGCGCATGGACAAGCTGGAGACCGAAAAGCGTTCGCTGCAGATCAAGCTGGACCAGCCGGTCTCCGATCCCACTACGCCGCGCGACATCACCAACAATGCGCATGCCAACGGTGGTGACACGGCCACCAGCTTGAGTGCCCACATCCAGATACTTCGCTCTGAGGTGCTCCGATATCGCTCCGACCTGGCCGCCGCCCAGAAGGAGGCCACCATCAAGACGCAGCAGTACGCGCTGGAGGAGAAGTCGATACGCGAGGAGAACGCCCGTCTGCAGCGAAAACTCAAGCAGGAGGTGGAGCGCCGCGAGGCACTGTGCCGGCACCTCTCCGAATCGGAATCCTCGCTGGAGATGGACGAGGAGCGCTTCTACAACGAGAGCCTGATGGCCGGCGGTCCGACGGCTGCAGCGGCGGCGGCAGCAGCGGCCGCAGCCTCGGCGGTCAGCGCCCAGCGCCAGCGCACCATCAGCAGTCCCGTCTCCCACAGTCCCTCGAGCAGTCGGCCCTTGAGTCCCGGGACGGCGGGCCAGAACCGCTGCTACGCTTGCGGCCAGTTAGTGGTAAGTGTGCTGTTTTAATTAGAGACTCCTATGGCGATAACATTTAATGTGTCCCTATAGAATCGTCGCGCCAGCGAACGCTTTATCAAGCCAGCACTGCCAACGCCCATGCTGGGCCTAAACACTTCCGCACCCAACGTGTTGACCTCCACGAACCCGCTGCTCGGCATCCTGGGCACCGGCAGCTCCTCCTCGTCGGCATCCGTGTCAGCTGGGAACGCCGCTGGCGGCTTCCTCTCGAATCTGGGCGGCGAACGCCTCAGCCTCGGTTCGATGCCCTCGTCGGGCGGCAGTGCCACCTTTTTGGCCGGCGGCGGCGGCGGAGGAGGTGGAAGCGGTTTGCTGGCCCAGCTGACGGGCAACTCAAGCGCCTCGTCGTCGTCGTCCAACCTGATGAACATCAGCCTGAATAACTCGTCCAGCGGCAATCTGGTGAACAGCAGCAGCAACTCCTCACTGTCGGCGTTTACGCCAACCAATCCGCCCAGCTCGGCGGCCACGGCCTTCATTCAGCCGGCCAGTCCCATGGACACGTCCACCTGCAAGGATTAGGCCAGGATCGGGATGCAGTTGCCCTGCAACAGGGGAAACCGAAAGAAATCATGACTTATTTTCACTTTCACACACTACACGAGAAACACATACACTATAATCATAAAAAAACACGCACGCATGCAAGCAACCAGTTAAACGACCGTAAAAACATAAGGAAACACACACAGAAAACAAATATGAGAAAGTAAATATCGTAAGCTTCTCCAAGGCACGACTCAAAGTCGGCTCATTTATATATGGTTAATATGTATATGTATGTTCTATTTGATCAAAATCTCTTAAAACCTTTCAATATCGGAATTCCTAGGCGAACGAATATTTAACGCTAATGTTTAAGATTTGAATGTTTTCTACTTTTGCTCGGTTCCAGTTAAAGTTAAGTGAAAAACAGCATATAATGAGGATATCGGAGATTTGGAGGATATAGAGGAGGAGGATGGACAGCACACGCTAACCAGATCGTATGAATTTATAAAACGGTGAATTCTATTCATGTCGAAACCAATTTCCCACAATTCCTTCGCACGTGGGCCTAAAAATTTTGAAGTATGTTTATGTAAGCCAACAAAATAAAGTTCAACAATTTAAAATTAAACTAACTTGCCACTGACTGTTTTTATTAAGATAAATAATTGGTATAGGTTTCTACAACATAATTACCTTTGTAAAACTTTTACACCAAAGCTTTGATTTTAGTAAACATTTTTTTAATAATTTTTTTTAGCAATCACTTTTTTGAGGGAATATGATTAAAAAGACGTTATTTTATATTCAAACATTCGTTAAACGAATTCCATTTGGTCTGGCAACACTCGAAAAACACCCTAAAAATGCCACCAATTTCCCGCACTACGGTGTGCACACACTGCCGCGCAGCAGCGGCCAACTTCGCGTTGCAAAATGCTCTTGTGTTGTTTGTGTTTGTGATTGTAAATAAAGGCCAAACAGTCAGCGGGAAACGTTAAGACCAACCTTTTGGGCCAGGCGAGAATGTAACACCTTGACGGAAAGCAAACAGCTCCCACAAAGTGTTCAATTAAACCAAGTGACTCGACTTTTATCCGCGGAGCAAGAGACGTCGAAAAAGGAAGGTGGGCAGGAAGTGGGAAGTGTGATGAATGACAACAAAAAAAAGTGTGTATTGGCCAAAAGAAGCTCGCATCAGTGGCAACAAAAACGACCATTCTCTCACACAGACGGTGCTCTTTAAACGCTGCCGCTCTCCCTCTCTCTCCTTCGTACTCACACAATTAAGCGACGGCGACGCGTCTCTTGCAAACTTTTTAAAGCGGACGCCAGCGATATTCGGTCTCATTTTCGATGTGGAACGGTAAAGAACCTGTGTCGCTTCCGCCGCGGTTCGCGAAAATAACACAAAAATAGCCTTATATTTTTTGCTCAATCAAATAAGCCACTGCGATTGTGTGCGTCTGTGTATACAGGAAGAGATCAGATAGATCAGAAGCAGTGCAAGAAAGAAAAGTGCAAAGCGAAAGTTTTGATTGTGCAGCATCCGCTATCTCGCTTTGGCAGGCGCGCGTGTAACGGTAAACGCCTCTCTCGCCCCAACAACAACAACAAATAACACATTCCAAGGAAAGCGAAAAGTCGCGCTTGTTTGTGTGTGTGTGACTGTGTGTGCTTTATTTCCATTTAAAAAATTCGATATTCGATCTTTGATTTGGAATTCGATTGGCCAGATGTGTTTATTCAATGATTGCGCACACTGTGTGTTATTATGGCCTTATTGAATAAACTCTTCTTTCCGTCGGCAACACCAACAACACCCGCGAATTTAGCGGCAGCGCCCACGTTGACCGCAGCAGCAGCGCTAATTAATAGCCAAACAACAACTACAGGAACAACAGCAGCAACAACAACGCCAACTTTGCCGGCACGTACAACTCACGCCTCTGCCGGCGTCGCTGCCACGGCCGGCAATAGTTCGTCGTCCGCAAAAGCTACAAAACAAACTTCGCGAAATTATCTAAGGTAAGTGTTTATCTGTTTGGCAACAACACAGCAACGAAAACTAACACCCGGTATTAGTGTATCGATAAAATGCGCACAACAACAAAGGAATGGATAACAAAAAGAGGTGCAGCTGCAAAAACACAGACTTACACGCACACAGAGACGTGTGAAAAGGCGTTCTCATGATGCGTTTCACACTCACCTATGTCCCGCCCCCTCTCCATCATCACTCTCTACCTGTGCTTCCTCTTCCCTTTGTTCGTACGCAAATTGGCAAAAAGCGTAAAACGAGGACGATAACCCAGCACACAAATTCTGCATTCACTAGACGTCACGTACGCCGTCTGCCTATTTTGTTTGATATGATCTGCAAGTCCGGCCAATAGTATCAATGGCAGAATAGAAAGCAATGAATGCAAAAATCTTGCCAGATTACAAAGACGCATTTTGGCCTTGCAGCTGTCTCGAAAACGTCACAAAGAAACGGCATTATCTTGTTCCCTTTTCCTTGGGTTTTAAGAACTACAGTGGTTACTTCTATAAAGGCACCCTGGTTACCTGAAATTTTTGCAAATTTGCAATCTGCACACCTAATACTTTAAATCCAATCTTGCCAAAGATTTCATTGCCATCTGCATTTTGCCTAGTCCATCTTCACTTATAATACTAGTTCTTAAAGTCGACCCATATCTTAAGAATGTATCTTTGAATTTGTTAAAATTAAAACTTTTGTGATGCAAGGAAAACTAAATTGTAATTATAGCGTGCCGAATGCATTTGATTTGGTTTGTTTTCCGTTCCTAGTTAAATTATCGCAGAGCAGTAATTGGGCCAGCCTTGCCTTGGCGTTAACCGTTAGTAGCATATGGCTGCTTCACTGTATATCGATAACGATAGCCTGCCCCACCGTAAAGCAGCTCCAAGAACAAAAACAACAGGGCCCAAATTCACTCTACAACAAATCACCCCCAGCGGTGCATATTGGGTAGTAGTCATTGTGGGTGCATGGGTGCGAGGAGATGGGTTGATGTTTGGCTGATGCCGTTTCTTTTGCTCGCACAGCTCCACACCCATCGATTGAGCTGCGCGCGCAAATAACTGTGCCCCACTATGCTCTGGCTCGGTCCCAACCGCTCTGCGCTCAGCCCCCCTTTGCTAGAAACCGATCGTTTCGTTCTCGGCTCTCTTCGTTATCGTTTCGTGTGTTTTGCCTTCTTGCTCGCACTCCCGTAAAACTAGGCAACGTTTGTGGGCCATCGAGGGGGTGTGGCGCGGGGAGGCGGGCAGCAACGTCAGGCGCAAATGTAAATAAAAGCGAATCACATGACTTGCTAATCGGCGGTCGCGGCCTGCTCTCGTGATTATTATGTCATACAAATTTTGTTGTTGCCGCTGCGCATTGTTTTTGTTGCGTTTCACTTAATTCATTTCATTATTATTTATTACACTATTTACTTATGCTGCTGCATACGCTTTACAATGTTGATTTTTGACACTTTACGCGGCCTGTGTGCGTGGGTTCTGATTGTTGTTTTGGTTCCTGTTGTTGTGACTGCGAGTGTGACTGGGGCTGTGATTGCGGGGTAGAAACAGAGGATGCTCTGTTAACGGTTTACTTGCGGACACACCCAGGTCCGCTTTTCTAGGAATGTTCTCAGTTTACCACCCAGTGCTGCTTCGTAAGAAATTTGGCGAAATCGAAACCGATAAGACTTAAATTCTACGAAAAGCGTTGGCTTTATTTATTTGTTTAATTTTACGAGATCTAAGTTCCTTAAAAGCAATGTTTCATTATTATTGTTTACACATTTGTTTATCGTTAAAAAGTTTATTGGAAAATAAAGGTAAAACTTATTCGCAGTATTCGTTCGTCCTACAAGTACATAAATGCCTTTTGGCACAAAAATTTATAGCGAAGGCTGAAAGTAATTTTGAAAAACAAAAATAAAATATTCTGCAAAACTCTGAAATCAGCTCTGTGTTGTTGTTTTTTAAAATCTTTTATACTTTAATTGTCTTTATGTTTATTCAATCGAAAAAGTCCTTATCATTTCAGTTTGATTACAATCAAAGCCAAAATTTCGAAGACTCATGGTGATAACCCAGAGATACCAAATATTTTCGATATGCAAAGAACCTAATTGATTGCAAGTTTTGGGAATGTTTGTTGACTGTGTCCATAAAATTATTTGAATCGTTTACCCAATTCCTTTTTTTGGGGGGACCGTAATCGGAGGGCCCCCATCACTCGGTTAACTCGATTAGCGCCTCGTCCGCGCTGTCAATCGGGAGCCTTATCGGTCAGACGCCGAGCTGGCATTTAAAATATATATGGCGTAATGGTGAAATTGTCAGATTCGAGTGTATATTGACCAATATTCGGGGCTGTATATACATTTATGGCCGCGCTTGTCGCCAACATTCGCCAGTGCCATCACGTGATAGAAACTTTTCACTTTGCTAATTAAGTGCCGCCAGCTTTTGGGGTTTTTGCACTTTGCCCACTAACACACGTTCGCACACTAAGCGAATAATAATAATAAAAAAAGCTGTAAGGTGTGTACAGCTGTAGACTAACTCCCCCTCGAATGGCCTCCGAAACACCCCCTTTTCAACGCTATCTTTGTACTAGGTCAGGTTTTTTCGGATTCTCTGTAAACTAAACAAACGTTTACACTAATAGCAGTTAAAAACTCCACTCGCGCCAAATAAATTTATTTGTTTATTTGCTTAATTTAGTTGGGTGACGGCAATAAATTACGGCAGCACGCTTGGTGGGTAAATTTCCACGACAGAATCTGAACCTCCACTTATCGTTCACATTTCTTCCAGGCCCAAAAGAAATGATTTAAAAATACTTTCGGTCTCTGATAGGCGGAGAGCTAAGAATAAAAAAGCTGGCGAAAAAAGAACCGCTGGCACTAATGTACAAACATATATCAAAGAAATGGTGAAATGCTGGAAATCAAGGTCTGGAAACCTGAAGTGAATCAACCGAGGGGAGGGTGAATCATTTTCTTTGGACCTCGTTCGTGACCATGTTTAGACATTTGCTAGCCAGTTGGTCACATGACAGTTTTTTTTGTTGCTCAATTTCAACTCGATATATGCATGATATAAAAGCGAAAAATCCAAAACCAGACGCCTGGCATCATGTGCCTTTGAAGGCGCGCATTCCTTAACCCAATTCGCAAGTCATTCGCCCGATATCCACCACATATGGCGTCCAAAAATACATATAGCCGTTATTAGCGTGCTGGTATTAATTCCCGATAAGTCCGGGGATTTCAGGCAATATACAAACTGTGATTTCATACACCCCCCTCTCGACCTTCCTTTAGTACTCACAATCGCCTTGCGATCTACAAAGTGCGATTCGCAAGCTGTCGATCGTTGGACTTTCACATGAAATCGATCACCGATCCCCATCCCCAGCTACGCAAATCGAGCGAATTAGCACCTTTTGTGGAAAACTTCGGGCCAACAAAGTCTCATTATGATCCGCAGTCTAGGGCTTCAGGCACGTGTGAAACACAATAAAATACGCGTTCGATTGGCGATCAAACAAAGCCACACATATCACATATCAATCTTCCACGAATATAAAAAAAAAATCACCGCTCTGAATGAACCATTATGGATGATTTCACTTAGAGCCTTAGGCAAATGAGTCGTAAATTGTGAGGGAATGGGAATGGGAATTCATTAATAGTTTTTGATAACTGCCCGCCAATTGAATGGCCAAACACTTGCCGGCCGGCCAGACATCAATCAAAGTGGTTCGCTGGTTCGCAGCAGGTGTGAACTTATTACATGGGCCATAGCGTTACGATGCGACCGACCAGTAATAAAGTAGTATAGTAATAGACCAGGTGCCAGGGTGTCTGGCTCTAGTTTTCTGCTTGTGGGCCACATGTCATGAGAGGTGTTATACCCATCACCCCGTATATCACCCTTCCCGATTCCCGCCCCCCCACCGAGTTCTGTGCCATTATTATTATCACCATCAGTGCAATTAAATATGTACGCGTATAACTGCGGAGCACTCGGCACACAAACTTTAGTTATGTGCAAACAGAAATCAGCACATTTAAATGGCTAAAAACTCGAGTGGAAAGGGGCGGGGTGGCGGTGTGGTGGGCTTCATGTGCGAAGTCGCGTGGTCTGCCAAGTCATATGAGTAGTGAATCGTCGGCGACGACGACGCGTATCCAGTTTTTGTTGTTGCCTCGGGACCCGTTTCGATAGCAGGTCCACTCAGAAAAACAAGAAACACTTATATTAGGTGTAATTTCCCTTGAAACTTTTTTAACTTGAATTATATTTTAATAATTATTAAATCTTATGTTTTGCAAAAATAAATTGCGCCGTAATTTAGCTCCTATATTGCTTTATACAAAAACTGTGATAATATAAACTTGTATTAATTACAATATAGCGACGAACAATTTAATCTTATTTTAATGAATTCGTGTTGCTCAGGTTCACAACATATATTTTTTAATTGTTTAGCGCAAATAAATATTTATTAAATTTATGTTAATTTAATTATCAGCAAAGAAAATACAGTACTAAAAAACATTAAAGTTATCCAAACAACATCTCCAATGATAATACAAACACAGTCGGTCAGGGTTAAGATAGTTGTTATTTTCTTCTTATAGATCACAAGTACTAGTGTTTTAAGACCCTAGTTTTCGATATCTTGATCGGATTAATACTGAACTTCTATAACAACTTGAACTTGAATAAAAAGAAACCCTCGTTATAACATTGTTAAGCTACCAATGACATTTACTGCTAGAGAAGGCGGTTAATAACTCATCAATAAAAGGTTCAATATCAGTAATGAGGTTTTTATTGAATATCATTTCAGTACATGGCGAAATAGTGTTTGCTCACTCGATTTCTTTGCCAGTGTAGACAGCAGCGCTTCTCTGTCTGTAGTCTGTAGTCTGGCCCTGTTGTCACCCATTATCAGTTGACAAAACGCTTTTGTTTTCCACTGCTCGCCGCCG